CGTCATTGCCAACGGGATCTTTCCCAATTGAATCCCAATTGTTACTGTCGATAATATTATTTCTTGTTAAATCATACAGATATCTGATGTCTTCTTCCAATACAGGATCCTCACTAAGATTTGGTAAATTTATCAATATCAAACCAAATAGTTCTTGCGACAAAGGTAGTTTTTTTGTTTGTAAAGTATAAATAAGCTTTACAAACACCGGACCAAGAGCTTTCTGGGTGATATTCGAATCTTCATCGTATCCTATCATTTCTTCGTTTCTAATTTTACTTGTTGAGAGCGTGTTTAAATCAATGTCGGCGAGATAATTAAACGTCTCAGATTCTGTTGATTTTAGTAAAGTATTTAAATCGATTCTGTTTGATTCTAACTCATTGACTAAGTATTTAGCCGTACATTGAATATAAGATGGTAGATTTTTTATCAACGATGACAGTACAATACTTGTCTGTTGATTCTTATCTGTGATGTCTAATTTAGGTAAAATAGGTAATAAATTGTACATATAAACCATCTTCTTCTTAAGAAATTCATAAAGCGTTTCCAAAGACGTATGTTGTTCTTCCGTCAAATTATTTTCACGACCGTAAAGCAAGTATGAGAAGATGTAGAGTATGTTATCACGGAATGTCACTGACAGTTTTAAATTCTCTATCACTGCAGTCTTCTTACTTTTGACATTTGAAGGATTTTGATTATTTGTTAGTTGATACTCATAGCTATAGCTATATTGTCCGAACGTCATCGGATTCAAAGATCTTCGTACGACGCCGAAGTCCGAAAGAGAACGTAGTAGAACATCGTTATTACTCGATTTGTGCCGAATTGCCTTAAATCAAAAACATTATTATACTAAATTACGATTTATAATAGAAATAGATAATTATATTATACAAATAAAACTCATGTATACAATTTTATTATTATCCCATTTTAAGATTATTTTATTATTTTGATTATTCTCACTTACTTCTTTTTTTAATTTTGTACGGTGCTTGCTCTGAAAATAAAAGAAGTTAAATTATTACTACATATTATTTTACTTAATAAAATATAATATATAATTTGTTTTTAAAATTTTTAACAATTTTAACAGTTCTCTCTGTTTTAGTCTTTTATACGGATTATCGAAATTATGATATATATGTATATAAAAAATAATTGTTAAATATTGTTTCTAGTATTGATATTTTTGCTCAAATGTTAAAAATCTGTGTTGACATAATAAACTTACTGCCGCAAATGCACATCGCATGAATGCTGTTCCAATTATGAAGACGAAAATAATAGTTGTTACATGGTTCACTATCATTTTGCAGAAATTTATGGCCGAATCGGGCCAAATGGAATTGTATAAAATATTCGATTGTTATTTATACGTGTAAAACGTTTCACATTACACAATATTTCATTAGATTTTAAAATTGCTGCGTCTCGCAGCGCATCACGAAGACTAAGGTAAGTTTTAACGGGGGCGGTGCCTTTATATGGAACAACAATTGAATTGACATGGTTAGAATTATATAGGTGCGTGTACACGACCGCCTGCTGAGAATGAGTAACTCAGCAAGCGCATGTTATTGCTAACTGATAATTAAATTTTATTGTTCCATACGTTGGTATTCCCCTCCCACTAGTTCCTTCGATTTGGTTGGTCTGAGCTGTTGCATCGAGTGAGATGAGATACGGTTATTTGATTTATTATTCTTGATACCATCTTTAAACGACCCTGATGTTGTATTACTTTTATATTACAAAGAGATTATTCTACTACTGAATTTCTATCGCAGAATTTAATCCTCGGATTGTCATTCGATTTAGTTGTACAAAATATATACTTTTCAAAAACTGGATCGCAATACATTGTGACAGATAGTATTTAGTAACCACACATGATTAGCCGCACATTTTTTATCACCAAATCATATGTCGTTGCTGATGTTGTATTACGTATAAAAAATGTATCGATTCAAAGTTCGACCATTCAATAGTTTAAAAATTAATTATTGTACGATTGTAGAAACAATATAAATATTTCATGTAGGGAAATATAGACAGAATAAATACGAATGCTGGAAAAATACAAAAAAAATTGGATCAGTTCGTTTAAAAAATTCGCTCATCAAAAAAAATCACGCTTTGCGGGTATTGTCATTGGTGCGTCAAAATTTCGTTGGTTTCATTGTTATCTCACGGATTGTTTTCAATATCTTTTTGAAACGATTGCTTCCCCGTGCTTTGATTCTATGCAAGAGCTGGCGTACTAAAAATTGTTTATTAAAAATAATAAAAATGGTTTCAAGATCGCAGAAAGAGAACTAGTTTCTAGTTTCTACGTCATCCTTTGAGCAAATTTCTCTCAGATATTTATGCGTACATGAACATTCGTGTAAATCAATTTTTTAATATAACGTTATACAAAGTTCTTACTATCGCAATAATTGTGATTAACTCTGGTATATCCAAATTAATAATCATCGTCGTATAAGTTATTATTATAATCATGAAAACGTATAAGATAACGCAAACAAACGCTCATATAAATGCAACATTTAACATGCGACACCTTATAGCCTTATTTACATGTACAATCCATTTCATATCTTTTTTATAGACGTAGACATATAGTTTGAAACAAGATACTCCTATAGCTGATACACGCGACAAAGCTCACCGCCGCTCTCCTCTGATTGAGCGCGGTATATTTTTACTCGACTGGCCAATAAAACCGAAGCTGACAATCTACTATGTCCTCTAACAAATGACAACAGATAACGCGCGACCGAAAGGGTCACACCGTCGTGAACGATAAGGTGGCAGGACAATGACGAATAGGCCTTCGCTGGATGGTTCGCGGAGTTTCCGTGGCTGCAATTCCATCGACGATGCAGCCGGTTGCCACTATCATATACGTACCAGGGGCAATTCCGATAGGTGATCCATTATCTTAAGCGGCATCGAGCAATCGATTCGTGCTGCATCTCGGCCGAGCGCTTTTTCAGGTCCCGCCGGACTTTCGCGCACTGCAACGGCTCTCTTCCACTCTCTTCCTATTGCCGTCTCTTTTATTCTCCGTGTATACGTAATTTTTTTGGATTGACTTGCGAAACGCGCGCACAACTGCATATTGCGCTTCTATGCTGCTTCCATCGCTCGTCCATAAGGTCGATCTGCCGGGATTGGGATTGAACGATGCGCAAATACGGCAGCTCCGCGAGAGAGCTAAAAGCTCACGCGTTTTTGGAAAGGTATCGTTTTTCTCGCATTTCCGCGGAAAAATGAGCTTCTATTTATCCTGCGGAGATTAATGACGCTGTTTGTCGGCGATAAAATAGCTTCACAATACTTAACGTATTATTCTGTTTGGAAAATAGGGATCGTGTATAATCAGGATTTTACGTAAAATATAGAGTTTTAAAGCTGCTGCTGCTGTTTTACTTCCGTAAAACTTTCGCGTCATGATAGTAAAATTAATCGATGTAACAATTTAGACATACGAACATACGTTAACATTTTATTAAAAGCTTTTGGCCGTACATCTGCCGATGTATAAAAGTGACGTTTTTTTACTCTTGTACAATAAAAGATATTTTATGAGAAAAATGCTTCGGAAAATATATGAAGTCTTATGATTCTGAAATGGTACACCCTCTCTTTTAGCAAAATCGCATTTTACTAAAAGATATGAATGGGTATTTATATTATCGCACACACATACACGCGATATAAATGTACTAGACTATAATATAATATGTATTTATATTTTTGTGAGAGTAATATTTTTTATGACAGAAAGTGCATCATCCGTTTTGATAATTTGTTTCATGAGAAATTTTCAATTAGCAGTATCATAAAAATTTTTTTATAACAAAATAACTGAGGTAATGCTAGATGTCAAAAGTATTGACATTCCTCTCTGGCAATATATTGTATAAATATCGCTGTTTATTTCTGCAAACTTGTCGAGATAATGATTAACTGTCATCAGATAAATTTTACATTATAAATCAGCAACAGGAAAAATAGTTTTTTTTTACCATAATATATGTAGCTTGTCTCTCTTCCTGCATCGCAGCGATACGGGTCAAAATTTATTAAAGCTTCGTATCTTGATCAAATAACGCTTTTGATTGTTTTGCGAAATTGAAGAAAAACTCTAGTTAGATTTTTTACCGTAGATATTTTTATTCATCCCGGGATAGCAACCCGATTGGACGCTTCTGCTGTACTATAAATTCCACTGCTCGATTGCGAGAATCGCTTGTGGAGATTACGATTGATCGACGTTTGCCGAAACTTAAGCTTTTACGATACCGAAGAAATTCTACGAATTTTTACAAACGCTTTATGTTCCAACTTTCTGAGCGTGGGCTTTGCGTTGACCTAGATATCGATTTTATAAAACTTAATCAATTTTGATTCGGGATATGAATTATAATAAGAAAACTTATGCCACAGAATTATTTCTGAGCGAAATCATTGGAACGATAATAAATTTGATCTTTTTTATTCAAGATTTTAAACTTACCCGCTGACAGAAATAATCGCTGAAAAAGGGAATCTTTTCCGTATTGTATTCTACATAAACTCACCTTAGGCGCGCTTAATTCGCCCATACACGAATTATACATATGTGCACACACGCGTCTGTGGTCGCGTCTTGTGCACACATTTACATGCACAAATCAATTTACTCATGATTCCACATTACACAAAGTTCTTATTACCACAGCGGTTAATTAGCGTAAGTAAACCACCGCGAATATTATCCCTTAAATATCCAGCAAGCTAACATTGCGAGAAATTAACTACTGCGAGTTTATCGCTGTTCTTTTCCATCGTAATATCGCTACGGTATCGTATGCTAGAACGACTCTGTTCAAAAGAATTAAATGCCGCGGAAAATGACCACGACAGTATACTTCCTGTACCGATTATATCTTATCGATTTCTCGATAAACCTAAATTTCTTTTCTATTCTGTGTTCACAGGTTGCGGAAGTATCACGCCGAAATCTACTTGGGGCAAAGTTGCTACAATGGGTTACGCCTGTCTTGGGATACCCTTGACCTTGGTCTACCTGTCTAGTGCGGGAGGTCTCTTGTCGAGATGCGCCAGAGGCGTTTTCACGCGAGCTCTCTGTTGCTGTCTCTGCTCGAATTGCGGCTATTGTTGTTACGACGAGAGGCGGATGCAGGTTAGCGATGACATGCTTCGTTGAAAATTTTTCATCGTTAGACGATAAAAAATTTAATCGCGGATGTCAGTGATACGATCTTTCTCCCTTTGAATAAACTGGGTATGCGTGATGGCAAATGCATATGTCGCATCGTCTGTGTCGGCAGGATACGCGTGTCCTGTTGACGATCGATAAGGATTAATCGTTGCCGTACCATTGATTGGTTATTGTTAGAGCGCTATTCAAATAAAATTGGATCAGCCTTCGAAATCCCCGGCACTCGAAACACAAGAGTGTAAACGATGTTGGCGTTCACTCGAAAGTGTTGCGACGCAACACGAATGTAATTGGTACACATGTAGAATGGTCATTCTCGTGTGTTGACATGCAGATATGAACGGATTTTCCATTTTTGGGTATTTTCTCTTATGTAGGAGAAAGAGCGACGGATGAAAAAGAAGCGACAGCAGGAGGAGCTCGCGCAACAGCAACAGCAACAGTTACAGCTGCAGGAGCCCTTTTACGTTCGCGCGAATGCATCGACGTTCAATAGCACCGTGGAAATCAAAGCTAGCCCGAAGGATGAAGTTTCGAGTCTTGGCTCCGGCGACAGACCGAACGTTACCATACTCGCGCCAATCAGTATCTGCCTTGGTGCGATGCTGTGTTACATCATCGCCGGAGCATTCACTCTGCATAAATTGGACGGTTGGTCATTCATAGGTAAGTTCCCCATTTATGTCGGTAAAAAAACTTCATAAATTTAGTGTTTAGTGTTGCGTTACTTCTCAACGTGAATTCCAATAGTTTTTCATATAAACGTATATATTCGATAAGAGTCTCAAAGCATTTAAAAAAAAAAAATAAAATGATCGTTTTCCTGTATTTGTATCAGATTGGCATAAATTCTGCGACGTATAATATATGCAGTTTATGTAAACATGGTATATGTACTAGATATATAAAGTTTATACTCTCTAAAAGCTAACGGCTAGCGCTTCTTCTACATTTAGATGCGAGCTATTTCTGCTTCATGAGCCTGAGCACTATCGGTTTCGGCGACATGGTGCCCGGTTCTTATCCTCGCCACACCCTCGCCACCTCGAGAAACGTGACGGTCTGGTTTTGCTCCTGCTATATAATGTCAGGAATGGCCTTGACGGCGATGTGTTTCAACATCCTCCACGACGAGATTGTCCATCGGCTGAGTCACCAAACAGACAAACCGGAGCCGGTGAAGCCGAGCTCGTCCGTAGATGAGCTATCGACGGATCCGTTCGCTCTGACCTCGTGACAATTTCCGTCGGGCAATCTGTGCCACAGGAACGGCACCGACGAGAACAATATATGTGGCACGGAACCACCCACCAATATATTCGCGCACGAGAATGAGATCAACATCCTAAAAGACACCTTCAATCAGGTAGACGTTACCAGAGATTGCAAACCGATCCTGAAGCTTGAGGATCATGTCCCTCCGATCTCTGCTGTCTATATGTTGCCCAAGGTCGACGAGGAGGCCGAGGAAAATACGGAAATGTGAAACTTAGATGCGGATTTCCGGAGAATGACAGTCTGGCGACCTGCAGGTTCAATCAATTGGAGATTATCTAGCAGCGTTTTTATGGCTCGTAATCCAGATGGATAGGTATATATAACATGTTATATATGCTAAAATCGTGTCAGATTGCGACGGAAAAAAGGTTTTGTTGAATCTATTATTAACGTTGAATTCATAGTTAAGACACGCTAACTTTAACGAAGTCACGAAAGTAACGGTGCTCAAATTTTATATTTTTGTTTGATTTATTAGAAATATAGATATAGTGTTATAAAATTATTTAGACATGAATTTAAAAAATTTAATTATTATTTAATTTCATTGCTGAAGTTACTTACTAATGTCGTTTTTTTGTTCGTGATAGACGCGATTGTATATATAATGTTTTTTACACTATCTTAATATATGTATTATACTATTTGACATGTCTAAATTCAACGATTAATGATAGAATCATTAATACGTTTCCATTAGTAATAATACTAATGAGCGTATGCAGAGCGTTATCTGGAACACATTCGAAAAATTGAAAAATGATAAGCGCTTAAACCGTTAATGCAAGTAGGACATCCTCCTTGAAATCGACGTAAAATAGATTTCGTTTTCGCTCGTACATAATAAGAATAATAAATTAATGTAAAAGTAAATTCAATATTTTAATATTTTTTGATACCAATTGTTTGATTATAATTATTTTCTCTTCATCTCGAAACTTATATCACGATAATTGAAATAAAATTGTGACAGCGTGATTCAATATTGAAATTTTCGACTTTTATATTAGTGATATTAATTTTTATGATAATATTTTTATAATTATGCGTCTTGTTTTTGTATCTTACATGAGTTCTAAATAAGAGGCATCTAAAATAGACAAAATCTCTCAAATTTATGTGGTAGAAATGTCTTGAACTTCCATAAATATTGCTATGTTAATTTTGAAACGTCTTTAATAAATATTTGCTGGATATTCCTAAAGTATGAAGTTACTACTTTTACAAAAGGATGTATGTACCAAAAAGATAAAATGCAAATGGTGTTGCCAAAATTTTACTTTACGCAGACTTTATGCTAAAGATACAAATTAAAAATACATAACGTTCCAAGATACAGACGTACTATTTAAAATCGGTACTCGTAAATGCAGTCACTTTGCGTCGTGTAGCTTAAACTAATACGGATTAATTAAAGAAATCACGAAGAGTATAAAATTTCAGAAGCCATGAGTAATTATCTATTACTAGTCAGACATTTGCGTACCGACATTAATGACAGGAAATTACGTTTACGTCGTCGATAAAATGAATAGAGTAAATGACCGGCATAAAATAATTTCCCAAGGGGCAATGGTGCATTTCATTCGCAACTGGTACGCTGTTCGTGCACGGGAATGTTGAAACTCCTCTTTTATTTCCCTATCTTCTTTATTCGCGTCACGTATACCGTTGCTGTTTCCTAAGAAAGCCGTGGAATCGGCTGAAAAATTGATATTTCTTCAATATAAATAACATCTTAAAAAAACACAGTGTCTTAAAGAATGTTTTAGATACTTCATACAAAAACAAGATACTAATATAAAATTTTGAAAATGTTTTAACATAAATATAAATAAAAAAGATGAACACATTAAATGTATGCATGTATGCATTTCTAAACGTAAATTTTGAATATTTTAGATTAGATCTTCTCATATTTGTGTTGTGGAAGTACTTTTACCATTTCGTTTTACGATCCACTTTTGCGGAAGTCTGACTTATAGTAAAACAACAGATCCGGCAACGACCTTTGACGAATTAACATATTTTCTGAATAATAACATCATAATTCATGTAACTTTTAAAGAAAATCACGACAAAATTTTTCTTTTTTACGAAATTAATTTCAGGATTTTTTTTTATTATAAATTAATTTCCGATAATGATTCAGTTTACTCTTGATATTGATTTTTTAGTGAACATGGAGCAAACTCGTTTGATTATGAGCGATCTAAGTGTTCCCACGGATTTGAGCATAGCTCACCCGTTTAATATTCAATGAGATTTCGAGGACGTCCTGGCTTGCGAACGGCGACCGACTTAATGTTTCTACACGCCTACTTAGATAGGGACATGTAAGAATTTTTTATATTTCCGTATTTAAGCGTTCACAAAGTAAACGCGTTCTTGTCTGTAATATAACTAAGCTATCGATCCTTGCGTCTAGCTCAGACAGATTGAAGGTACGCGGTTACTCGCGCGCGTACCAGTTTATCGATCGATCTGTCACTTTTCCTACGTCCTCGCAATTCTACCGAACTGTAATTTCAATCACACTGCCGTACGTGGAAAGCTGCGAAGATAGCAGCCCGATTGTCGGTGAACAAAGATTACATTTCCGGAGAATGGTATGATAATTGAAAGAATGTCGCATTCAATGGAATGAAGGAATTATTTAAAGATATTGACTATTTGAATACGCAGAAAGAATCTATTAATTGTAATGTTTTAATTGTAATGTTAACTCAGCGTGTTAAAGAATGATCATTTGTTCAGCGACAATTGTATAGTGAGTCTTGTAATATTGTAATAATAATTAGCAATGTGTTATTTGTTATACTGCCATCTGGCTGGACGCTAGAATCTATGAATGAATGAAATCAAATTCTGTGCTCAAGAACAATAACTAAGGTACTTACGGATAGGCATTAATCCCTAAGGATATTGCGTTTAGGACGACACACTATCTCTGTTCTTTCATATTAATACTCGAATAGTCTACGAGAAAAATGCGTAAGCAAAGCATAACTGTGAATTAGCTGTAAATGATTATTTTTGCTGCGTATGGGGCGACCTATGTGCGTGGCGATTAATATTATGAGCACGCCTATGTTGCCACACATTATGAATATTCTTTACATATCCTTACGCGGATATAGATTATATATAATTTAAAATCTATAATATAAAGATAGAATAAAATTCATGTTAAATTAAATTTAACTTGTATTTTTTTATACTAGATAAACTTTCTTTGCGAGTATGATGTGAAAACTGCGCCGAACTGACGCGAAACCTTGTCACGCACGACGCAGAGGAATGAAATGGTTCCAGAGCGATTTAAAAAAGTGTCCCTTCTTCTGTTTCCTGTAACATATCATACAGTATAAGGGATTTTGTCGGCCGTCTCTTCACTTACGAGCGATCGTACGTACATCAGCTCGATATTAAAAGCGCCAAGTGAATCGCTGAGAAGGCTGTAGGGCCCCGTCGCGCCGTGCAGCTTGCAGGCGAGAGAATTTCGTACGGTGTCTAATGACAATCGATACTGGCTTGAGCAGTTGCTAGAGTTATCGTTATCACTCCGTCGGTGATTCGATGGAGGGTCGTGGCCGGTAGCCAAGACAAACTTTACTTTGGTGCTCGTACCAGGCCATCCAGCCATCGATCCAACCCGCTCGTACAAACTTCCTCACACTCGAGTTCGAGTCGAAGCGGGCGCTTGCTCCAAGCTGGCGCTGCGGCGATTTGTTGCGAGAATCTATTTACAACTTTCCATATACGTCCCCGTGTACGCGAGGAGTCGTGCAATAACCGCCGGCGTGTCACGATTGCGAATGCCGAAAGAAATGCTTAAAAGTTGGCCGCCGCATTTCTTGGTTAAAGATAAGGTACTTCGAAAAAAAAGAGAAAAAAAAAGAATGATACCGCGCGATTGATATTTTGCATAACGCTCTGATTAAAGTTATATTAATCGATATTCTTGTATGGTACTTAGGACTTACGGTTTTTTTTAGTCGTGCTATTTTAGATCACTTTTAATTCTTTCGAAGTTTCCTCTCGAGATAATAGACTCATTTACGAGGTGAACTTGTGAAGCGAATTAAAGTTTGACGTAACTTTTCACTGCAGATATTGAATTCGTTAAATGTAAGTGAATTTGGCTACATCAAAATAGCATATATGTATCGTATCGTATCATCATTTTGCTACTCGAGACGAAGAAAAATTTAAAATAATAAATATGCGCAATCTTGCATTTTTCAAAATGATTTAATTGATGTTAACTTATTATCTAGAGAGAGAGAGAGAAAGAGTTCTTAGTATTATCTCGATATTACATGATATTCTATGCCATTTCATAGAAATATTGTATCATTTTCAATAAGAAGAAAAATCTTTTATTTCTTTTTTTTATTCTTTTATTCTCCCATTATTATTTCTCTTTATCATTCTTTGATTTATTTGATTTACATACAGTTTTCTAACAGATTGTGAAATAAGAATGCATTATCTCACAAGCATTGTGGTGAAAGAAAGCATCCTTATTTTCTTCAATTAGCATAATTACTTCATTACAAAATATATAGCAGATTGTGGTTAGTAATTTTTTACGTTCATATATAACGCTGTCTATGAGTCTAGAACGAGGTCCCAGCGCGGCAAAAGTCCAGACTGGATTCTCTCCTTTCACCGGATTTTCTTTCCTATGTAGCTCCTCATCTTTCGCCCTTACGTTCCGGTTTCCTCTGTCGTACTCCAGGGAAATATAACCGAGTTCAAAGCTCTCGATGGTCGACACGAAACTTTAGCGCGACAATTTTGCACGAGAAATATCCAATGAAAGTCAAACTCCACGGGATTCAGCCTCATTGGTGCGTTTCAACCTTGGAAAAAAAAAAGAGTGAAAGAAAGCAAAGCCAGCCCGACCTTCCAACAACCGACTTAATGGAATTAATGGTTTTCTGCTGTCGCCTTACATATTCATTCTGCGCGCGAATCAGCCTGTGAGCCCGTCGAGTTTTCGAAAACTTCGGAAAGTCGAATCTATGTCTCTTGATACTCAATTGCGCTTTTACCGAGGGCAATTAGTGTTCTTGCTACTTCTGGCTACTGTCATTTCAAAGGACCTGAGTAAAGTACTACTAAATTACAGCAAACTCACTTTGCATAAAGTTGGCAATATTTGATCAATGTGCTTATTTGTAATTTATTCATCTTGTTTTCTTTGTTCTCATCTTTTATAGCTCCGATATCTTTCAAGTGACAAATTATTAAATGCTATTTCTTTATTAGAATAAAATAATTGTTTATACATTTTGATTTAAGGCAAACATTAAATAGATAAGTGTTTGCTACCCGAAGAAATCATTAGCGTTACTGCTGAAGTCGGAAGAGAAATTGTAAGAGAGGAAATCTCGAAGAGATATTCCAGAAATGAAATTTCTTTTACAAATGTCTGAGTTGCAACAATATTCTGACGACAATTCAACTTCTATAATTAATGAAGTAACGAGATTTGCTTCTGCCGTCCTTCTATAGTCTTATACAAAAGTGTGCCGTGTCTCAGTAATGTAATATTTTAGCACAAACTGATATTAAATCCAATCAAGTGTATCTCTGATTCATATTTTCGTCCCATCTCATTACAACAAACTTGTAATTGTTTATTACGTTACTGTTATGCCAAAGTAGCGAATATTTAAAGTAAATATTAAAGTAAATATTTTTATTTACGCCTTTATAATATTGCGCTATTTTTTAATGAAATAATGCATAAATTAATTGAATCTTCGAGCCTTTGTTTGTAAACCGAGTAAATCGATATATACTGCTGACATTAATGAAATATTACTTGTACATAGCATTAATATGTCACTGTACGATAATATTATATTAGAATTTATTGTTAGAATGCGTCAAAATCCAGTTATTTCGAATCGTATTCGTCATGACTCGCTTATCGATCGCTTTCACTGAAACTCACGGTTGTAAATATGATACTGTCCTAGAATGTAATAGACGTAAATGTGGAAAACTCTTGTTATTATAGATCTTGTTATTAAACAACAAAAATAACTTGAGAAATTTTCCATTATTGTAATACCAATTTATTTATTTTGTTAATGTGAGAGAGGAAATTAAATGTTGCAAATATGCAAGAAATGTCCATGCTGGATTTGGATTTATTTTATTCATGTGATTAAGATTATAATGTTTATAGAACTTAAAGAATATTCATTCTTGCTTTATGTTAAAAAAATGTACAAAAATTTTGTATAAGATACATTTTTATTTTCTACATAGAGCGTACATATATCAGAAAGTATAAAGCCGAGTTTGTCTATAGATATTGCAATAAATAATTGTTTTCTCGCAAAATTAATGGCGTTATCTCTGATTTACAAAAAGCTTTAAATGAGTAAATAGTTTTGAAATTTCTAAACTATTATATTAGATTTTGGAAGAGAGAAATATAAGATGTTTGTTAAGTAACGTACAATGCGACAGTCTAATCCTTTTCGTGTTTCGCTCATAAATCATCTCAATAATTCTTTACGCGAGCAGAGGAAATCTTAATAAATGTCTGATTCTCTAAACTTCGCGCGCGTCGTCGATCAAAACAAAGTTTTCTATACGCTTATAGCGACCTGCTGTGTCCGCGAATTAATCATAGTTAAAGTTTTCCAAGGTTCGCTTATAAACTCATTTTTTCCGACGATCATGCATTCCTGAAAGATACACAAGCATCTGGAACGAAGTTCTGGAACGAAGTTTAATATCTTCATCTTGATAAGGTCTGACGATGCCAGAAATAACGCACAATTTTACCATGTTAAAAATTTTTTCAACGGAACAGATTATTTAATAAATATCCAAGATGTAAAGAACCAAAATGTCAGAAAGGCACATATAGGCGTACACACGGCGGACATACTATCGTCTCTCTCAAATTTCACATTGTATACCAAAACTAAACTTGTATTCTGTAAATAGCTGTGAGGGCGAGTAAGGTGCGGAGTATTGGCCGACGAAATTGTAAAATACAAAGCGAACGATTTGCTGGGTATTGTACGTCTGTATAATCATTTGTCAAGCAATGTATCCTACGATAGGAGATAATAAAGAGGACTTATCAAAAATTTCAGTGAATTTTTATCAATATACTGTCGCGTATTTTAATTTTCTTTTGTATACGCAATGTATGCAGTTACATCGTAGATAACTTTCTTTAAGAATACTGATGTTCAGTAGTTCGTATTTAAGGTAACTTTTATACGTATATTTTATATTCATATATATGTATACATATATTTTATATATATGTATATATACATATATAATATATATTGACCTTGATGAAAATTTGTCTGATTAATTTTTATGTTGTATATAACAATAAAATAATCAACCTTTTCATCTTCGGTAATATTATACGTTGGTGTAACGATCTGTGTCTAATCGTTAATCTTTATTCGTTTCATTCGTTTCACTCGTTTCACTCGTACATAATTTATCTTACCACCAATGTAATATTAGTAACTCTTATCGTAAATATACTGCCAAGAAGAAGTAAAAAATTTTAACTCTTGGAGATCAAAGAAAAGGTATTGTATGAAAGCGGTAAGAATAAAGAATTTGGAAGTATAGACGTTGATCATCGATCATTTCAAACATAAAAATCGTAAATTTTATTTTATATATTCGTATATGTGTTACATTTATTAAGATATACGAAAAAATTATTCATCTTGACACAAAGGTGATTTCTCCGAGCAATACATCTCGCTCGCGAATACAATTTGCAGTGCAGGCGGTACTGAATTTATAAAGCCAATATGCTTCAGACCTATCGATCCAGTGATACAACGGGATTGAAAATGATTTCCATCTTTTATCGCCGTAATGCTGTATAATTCGATATGAGGCCTAATCACGCGATGAATACTAATGTCGTTCGGAGTAATTAAGAAGCAACGATAATAGTAATAGAAATATTCTCGTCAGTGAAAGATATCATATGATAATAATGCATATATATCGTGATTGATATATGACACAGTAAATTAAATTACCATTCTACTAAGAAGAAGAAGAAGAAAAAGAAGACACGACTTCATAATTAATGCAATAGAATGTTCTCAATTTAAAACGAGAGCATTAAACTCTGTCAATTCGTGTTCTATCAAATGAAATAATAAAGAAGTTATATATAAGTATCAAAGATTTTTATTTGGTTAAATAACGATGGAAAGAATAACAAAAAGAGATAATAATTTTGCTTAATTTTAATGAAAATGCTAACAAAATTGTTTCAAAAATTAATTTATTATATTGTTAATAATGATTAACTATGAAGAAATATGCATTAAAGAATGTATTAATATATAGAGCTCTTGTTTACATGTTTGGAATTTTCTTTTTCGATATATCACAATATTTGTTAGTATTCATGAATATTTCAATCTAATGTCAATTTATGGGGAACCGTCTGAATTTCGCATTGCGTGATCATCTCCATTTCACCGTCTCATCTCAATAGCACAATAGATAAATCTGGATGATAGCATCGAAGCGATACAAACCTGCATGGACGTAACATCAGCCCGTGCACATATTCTGGATGCCAATAAGTAAACAAACCGCGGCGCGAAATGGAATCGAAATCGGGCCATAAATCTCGAATGTAACCGTGCGAAATTGCCGAGAAGGCAAAGATACATAACCGTCGATCCTCTTTTTATTTCTATTCTTTATTCCTTTTTTCTCATATTGGGCAGATTCTTTCTCGCTGTAGTGATGAGCAGTATGAGTTTCTTTTCTTTCTTTCTGCTAGAAACTAGAGTGCATACTCGAATCTTATCACCCGTCATAATAATTCCCGAGAAAACATTTTACATTTACTACGTGAATCTCATTTATAGTATTTCTTTTATTTTCCATAAAATTATTGCAATTGTGTTACAACACAGATTTCAAAATTTTACTATTATTTTAATTCGATTTTTAATTAAATTAGTAATTAAATGTAATTAAAAATCATAATAAGACATGATTTTTTTATTCTTATCAATATTTTACTGATTTTTTTCATTAAAATAACATTTCGCGTTATTGCTTGTTAAGCAATATTAACATTTTATTTTATATATTCTTCTATTTAAATAAATTAGACATTTATAATTTTGATTATATAATAATAAATTAAGAAATATAGGAAATAATTAAATAATTATAATATATATTTATTATATTACGCACATTTTTGTAAATTATATTTAGTAATTAAATAAAAATATTATTTATATAAATTCTATTCGTTACAAGTTCTGTTTAAGCAAAATAAAATAATTTAGGATTATAATTTTATTTTAGTTTAAAAAAAATCACAACACGTGTTTATTATTTAGTTCTTGTGTCAATTTTAATAATAAAATTCATTATTCTAATTAACATAATATATATAATACATACACATTATATTGTTTTGCACGCCTCAAACCTGCACTCTACAGTGCAAGCTCGAATTATATTTTGCAAGTATTCATAATCGATCATTATAGATTTGAATATTTTTATCGTTTGTCGGTACAGTTGGAATTTTACAATTCGCTTCACGATCACTTTTTTACCAACGTCAATCTGTTTTATTCACGGATTGCCCGAGTGTTTCGTTTTAGTCAAAGCTTCGGCCGATTATCGCTCGGTGCAGCACCGCCAACGCGATGCACAGGCCGGCGCAGAGCTCGGGACGGAAGAACATATGTTTAGCCAGTGGCGCATGCGTGGTCACCGCTTCCGCGACGTACCTAGCCATCTTTCCAGTCAAGCAAAAGTGATTGTTTTCAGTCTTAGTCTTATTTAACTGAACTTTTATTAATGTCAGAGCCACAGTCCGCGCTGTTATTACGGAAACAATTAGCAGGTACAATGTGAGCGCGGTGCGAGTGTTAAGTGCGTTTGACGGAAGCGCGAAGCGCGACTGAACGGGGAATCCAAGTCGTGTGACTCGCGATTTCCGAAGGACTCGCTGCCGTCGTGCCTGGCAGGCCTGACGTGCCTCCACTGACGGCCTCGCGCTCGTCCTCGTCGGAAACCGTCGTGCTGTGAAACCCACGGCCGCATTCGCCGCTCGGCACATCGTCCTCGTCGCCGGCTCGCTACGACCGCGCGCACGGGGCGTGAAAATCAATACGTTCACCCGCGGAGAGTCGTGTGTATGCTGCGCCGTGAATAACGTTAACCTAAGCGGCGGCGTAACGTCGCCCCCTCGTCCGTCGTCCACGGCATGCCGCAATAATCTTACAACTTCGACTTGTTCTCCCTCTTCCCCTCCGCTCCGTTTCCCCCGTCGCCGACGAGTCGATCGGTTCGTCGCGTGCGATGTTCCTTACACGGCCGCGACGACGAGGACGAGGAGGACGAGGACGACGTCGGTGTCGAGAGAGAGAGAGCGAAGGCCGATCTCGTCTCGTGCCCGAAAATAATTGCAAGCCTCGTTATTTATAGCGTATGCGCGTCACTGCCGTCGCGCACATTTCTCCTCATGAGCGACGGAAAAAAACATCGAGTGGAGAAGCGCGAGCGACAGAAAATAAAATAAAAATAAAAAAAAAAGTAGGAGACACACACACAGTACAGAGATAGGGACGAGCACGAGAGCGAGCGAGGGAATGAGAGAGAAAGAGAGAAAGAGGGAGAGAGAGAGAGAGAGAGAGACAGAACCGGAGAGAGTGCGAGAGAAAGAAAGAGAAAGAAGGAGGGAAAGAAGGAGCAAGCAAAAGCGCGCCGTGCAACGACCATCGAAGGTCAGCCGCCTTCGGGCCATGCTCCCCTGTTCCAGACGAGATCGACGCCACGAAAAATGCTTCTCGGAGTTTCGCCTCTCTTTGTGCGACGTAGGACGGAGTCGAACTGCGTGCGCGCGCGAGAGAGAGAGAGAGCACCGTCGCGTCAGTAACCTCGTGCTTCATCTCCTTCGCGCGGAGCACGTCGGGCTGACTCACCGCACCGCGCGCGGTTCTCTTGTGGCGGCGATCTCGCACACGGGCGAACTTAACCTATACGCCGCGCGTCCCATCCTGGACACGCCGCACTGGCTGCTCGACGCGTCCCGTGCATCCCGGGATTCGCAGAAGCGTAAACATCCGCGCGTGCACGTGCACGCGCGATTGCGATCACAGATCACTCGCTCGGAGATGCTGCTTTTTCCCCCTTTTTTTTTTTATGCTTCACAGAATCGATTGGGGAACATAACCTAGACGCTCTAACGTTCTCTTCTGTAATCTGTCATTGCGTTTGCGTCATATTTATTTGGAACTTTTATCACGGTCTTGATTATTTATCTGAAAACACTGCTCTTTTTGTATTTTTTTCTCGCTTTCGAACAAATTTTAAGTAATAATAAGTTTAGAGAATGATGCTGTCAAGGAAGATTGACCTATGACATTTAAACGGAATCTATTGTTGTTCTGAAGTGTCTAGTGTAGCTCAATACACACAACACACATAGACACAGTGTGAAATGTACTTGTAGAGGATAATTTTGTAGATCTTTTTTGGAGCAAATGTTCTAATATGTCTCGCTTGATTTATAATCTTTCATATGTATATGATTATATAGATATTATATAATATTAGTTTTTTGCTTAGTTATTTTTTTTCTTAATTATTATATTATTTGTTAAATTCTTTGGTAGAACTTAAAAGTTTCTTTATATTTCAATTTAAAGTTTTTTTGATTTCTTTAGAACATAAAATATCTTGGATTATTACAAAGCACAATTTACAATTGATACTTGTTAACATTATATAGTAATATTTTTCATTCTCTCTTACAGAATTAAATAAAAACCCAGTAGAAGGGTTTTCTGCAGGCCTCATAGACGACAATGACATATATCGGTGGGAAGTACTCATTATTGGACCTCCGGATACATTATACGAAGGCGGTTTCTTCAAAGCACATTTACAGTTTCCAAAAGAATACCCACTTAGGCCACCAAGAATGAAATTTATAACCGAAATATGGCATCCAAATATCGACAAAAATGGAGATGTTTGTATATCTATATTACATGAACCCGGTGATGACAAATGGGGATACGAGAAAGCTTCCGAGCGGTGGTTACCAGTTCACACAGTCGAAACTATTCTGATAAGTGTTATTAGCATGCTTGCAGATCCTAATGATGAAAGCCCTGCTAATGTGGATGCCGCCGTAAGTATCTGAATATATTAGAAAATATATTACATGTATTTTTTTTTGGTATAAATAACTTAATTTATTCTTTTTCTCTTACTGTAGAAAGAGTGGAGAGAAAGTTACACGGAATTTAAGCGAAAGGTGGCGAGGTGCGTGAGAAAGAGCCAAGAGGAGTGTTTGTAGGGGATGAACAAATATTCAAATGGAAAGACTTATTTAATTCTGGTAAGTTTTATCAAAATAATTATTAAACAAATGATTTTATACCTATTATTTACGATGCGAGTAATATTAGTAATGTTAAACAATAAGAATATCATATTGGATTGTACATGTAAAAACACAATCAATAGGAAATAGAAAAATGATTACAAATGTAATATATATGTATGTATATACATGTATAGTATATACAAAATCACATCGAATTATTTAAACGTTAAAGGTTTAGCTTTGACCGTTCTGGGCTTTTATTTCTTCTTTCCTATTAGCAATGTTGTGGTGGATAATTTATATAACGTATGTATGTGATGTATTAATGCAGGGAAGCCGTAAGCACTGTAAGAAAGATACCGACGCTCAGCATAAAGCTAACGGATAACAGTGCCACTAAAAACGGAAAAAGCCTGACCTATCCTTATGCAGAGAGAGAAAGAGAGAGAGCAAGACAGAGTGTGTGTACGAGAGAAAAACTCATGCCGCTCTATCATGTTTATTAAATCGCCGCCACCAACGTACGATCCGAATTCATTGAGATGGAGAAAAGAGATACACACGCAATTCACCTTTTACATAATAAACAGCTAAAAAAAAATTAATTTACACGTATACATAAAAATATCATCTCTGTATGATTATTACCTTAATATTAATAGTTCTTATAAAAACTTAACTCTCCCCTGCCCCTCCTATGCTCAAGAATGATCCTGAGCCCCTTTGGAAGGAACCTTGTAATTTAAAATATGTTTACGTTTATCTCAATAATAATTCCTTAGTGTGTCGTTTCGTATTTTCTTACTTTCATAAATATATATATGTATAAATAAATTTTTTTATAAAACCGAAGACGGGACACATGTAACAATCTTGTAAAATGTTTATTGAGAATGGACTACATACAACACATGGTATGACATTGCGGTGAGAATAATTAAAGCCGTGCGTACATGCGGTAAATGTAAAATATATATTAAATTTTCATCGAACCGTAAGTTGCCAAAATAATTAATTCTAATTCAAGTGATAATAATGATAATATTATTGTTAATGTATCAATAATTACAGTTAGTGCTCGTAACGTAACATATATGTATATGATATGGTATTCACTCTTAAACTCGTGTGCAGAGTAACGGCGCTTTCCTTACGAAGTAAACTTGCGGTTCTTTATCATCATTACAATGAAATTAAAATAATTCTTTCCTCTTAGGAAATTCGTTCAACTTAGTTGAAATTTCTCGTATAATTCTTTGATCTGGTTATACATTATTTTATATTGTCAATTAAATCTTCAGACATTGAAACAACGTCTATGTTACATTACACCTGCTCTTTTCTCATCCATTTTATTAATTATTTTTTACATATTTTCTTCTCAGAACATATAATGGCTGTATTCAAGCTACTAACACTGTTCGTCGAGTCACTGAATATGATTGATCGGATCTATGATATTAAATATGAATTCAATCGTATTCAATTGCTTAACGAAGAAGCTAGTTGCTTTGTCAGCTTGAACACGTTCACTAACACAAGTAAATTGTATGTAGATTATTCTATTACATTACATCTTTATTTCTCCATTATTCTTATTTATATTTATTTACAATAACTTTCACTACATAGAAAAAAACATTTTTACAAAATTGTTAACTTTCTGCCGTTTTTAGATTATAATAAGTATAACATATTTATGTGATATGAGTAATAATAATATATTTTTTATTTATATTTACTAGATTTTAATGAATTTTTTACTAAATTGAATAGAAAATTATCGTTAATAATCATAGTGCGTTGAGCAGCGTGTAAAAAATATCGTAATCTCCCTAATCATTTATATCTCAAATAGTTAAGACCTGTGCGCAATAGAACAAATATTAGAAACAATTAAGAATAAATGGTAAAATTTCAATTTATCAGATACTAGTTATATCGAAATACACGATTTTTGATAGGTTGAAATCTAAAAATTTATTCCCATTTCTAATATCTTCTCCATTGTGCGCAGGAGTTGCTTACGCAAATTCAAATATTCGAGGTTGCGCGCCGGCGCGTTGTCGCGCGCTTTAGTGGACGCCATGACAGTTTCGGTGGCGCATTGCCGCGCATTCAGTTCGACGGCGCGGAGTGTTAATCGCGATCGTTTCGCAATTATTCGTGAATTTTATCCATTAAATGTGCCTGAGTAGTGTATCTTTTGTCGAAAATGCCGGTTAAAGTGACGAGCGATTGTCGGGACGTGTCGGTTTTCGTAAATTTTTGCTATCGTCGCCATTTCGTCAACCGAATGATCGGAGCTGCATCGAAGTTTGAAATCGTAGTCTAGTGAGTATAAATTTCGATGTCGTAATCACGCGAAAATGATCTTTAGGTTTTCTCGAGGTAAAGTACGCGTTTCATGTATCTTTCATTGGACGTAGCATGTTCACAATTTAATATTTATTGATAATTATGTCGTGCACGTATACTATAAAAGTATACTGTTAATAAGTACAATATATATTTTGCATTTCGGTGAATAAACTACGAATGTGCCGTAAATCCGTTTTAGATGAAATCTATCGCATAATCATAGCATTAATGATTCATTAATTGTGACGCGTTAATTGCGTCAACAAGACATCAAGTAAATTTCGTCAAGTAACTTCTTGTAAAAATAAAGATTGGATCGCGTAAGTCGATTGTAAGGAGAGATTAATGATAGAAGCGTACAGTAAACGAAGTTTCTAGGAGGCGAAAGTTTTAAGGTAATGAAACGTAAAAGCGTCAATTCTCGTCGCTTCAATTTTCGTCTCCGGAAGCTTCGTTTGTCTCTGTTACTCTTTCCTCACATTTGACTTACACTACAATTTTTATTTTCGGCAGAAACTCCAGCGACTCACAAGATAATGTGAAATCTTTTATATCGCGTCGATACTGCAGTATCGACGCGACAAAAGTGCGACTGTAGTAATAGTAGGTACATATCTCGCGTTGATAATGCAGTACGCCGACAAATATAATTCTATAAAATAAATTTACCACCGATTGTAGTTTTATTAACAATAAATCTTTTACAAATTGAATATATATGCACGAGTTAATTAAAATATGCAGTACTTTTACGTAATTGACGATATTTATATATTGTAATTAATAATATTTGTAATTTTTTAGTAGTGATTGTCATTATTTTTTACTTTACTTGCAATTAGCTTATGATTATTTTACAAACTAGAATCGTTGTAGATCGTTAAGTTTATAAAATTATATACACGAAATAATTAAATATGTATAGTAAATGGTAATATTTAAATTATAATTAATGCTGTCGTCACTACGATTATAATTAATGTATCTTTTTTTTTAATTGTATTTATATAATAAGTACATATAATTAATCAGTGTCGGATTTTGATATTTTAAGATTTTGAATTTGGAAATCTACAATATCTCGAAAGAGATACGTACTTGCTACGTCCAATGAAAAATCCGCTATCATAGGCATAGTTAAAATAATAATTGATTGCAATTATGTGCGCAAACACATCGCAGAACAAAGTGCATTCTATCTTTGCGGTTTGCGTGTCATAACACGGTGGATTCGTGTTTTACTTTTTTGAAAGTAAAATACAAAATGCGTGTTAATTTGCGTCGTCCGTTCGATAATGTGCGTAATTAAGTGTTCCGTTTCTGCAATTCATCATTTCCGCGATAATCTGGAGCAGGATATTCCAGGACTTCACAACGGCAATGTCTTAACCGGTGAGTAAATTTATGTCTATTTGTTATTTAAATATATATATGTATAATATTGTATCTATATGCTATCGTAATAGACATGTGTATCGTATATATAATTGCGACTATTTATTAACTTATAAGGGGGAATAATTGAGAACCGAGAAATGCAAAAATCCAATTCCATTAATACCAAAAATGACAAAATATTTAATAATTAAATAATTATTTATAAATTTATTACGTATAGCATAAGTTGAAATAATAAAATGATATGTGAGAATCTATATGTATGTATATATCTATATAATAAAATAAAATTTATATTAATTACAACATATTAATTTCTGTAGGTACAGCTAAAGGCATGCTTAACGAGGACACAACGACTGGTGAGTGAACTCATTTATTACGTTTGTGTATATGTATATATTAATCAATAACAATAACAATATTATCCGCCGCTCTTTTTTATTTGCTGCTATTTATTATGTAATTATTAAAGGTTGCGCTTTGATCGTATTCTCGTTTATAGTTGAAATTTTTGCAAATATATAATTAAATAATAAAATTAAAATTTTTTCTTTTTTTTATAATAGAATTAATTGAAATTTTATATTGAGGGAATTTAAATGTTGAATATAAAGATCATAATATGTTTTTATCATAGATATAAATAAAATTTATATTTGCAATTGAAGATAACTGTGCTGCAATATTATACGTTTCTTTCTTTATCTACAAGATGTCGTTGCAGCGCCGTATAATAAAAAATTAAAAGATTGATATTAAAAGACTTAACATTTCAAACAAAACAATTTCGAAATAATATAAGACATTTTGAGATTCAATTTTGTCGTTTCTTTACAGCTCTGCTACAAAATGTAATATCGTATTGTATAATAAATTAGACTAAACGAATACAAAATTAATAAAAATTAATAAAGGACTAAACCAATTTTTTGTTACTTGTTTTTTAACATGTGTGTGATATTCAAGAATAATTAAAAGAATATTCAATTTAATTGTTGGTCGAGAAAATTTTTATTAGTTGTTTTAACAACTTTATCCATGTCAAAAGTTTAAAATTGATTAAAATTATGTTAAGACAAAATCAATACGGAAGAAAAGGGAAAAGATAGGTGATTATAATAATTGGCAGCATAATATTTAATATATAGATTTTTAATTTAGAAATTCTTGAAAGGAGACATTGATATAAATAATAATATATTTGTATATATAATGAAGATAATCTTCTATTTCTCGTGATTAAATTATTGCGTGTTTGAAAAGTACTACGAATTTTAGATGATAAGAATGTAAAATTCTTTTCACGAACGAGAATAACAAGAATATTCAATATAATACTCGTAATATTATACCTAAGACAGTTCGAGTCTCTTCATGTATATTTTTACAATTATATACTTTAGTTACATATTTTTCCAGTATTTAATTACAAAGAAAAATATGTAATAGATATGTAATAAATATATAATTTATAACAAAAAATGTATAAATTTATTTTTGTTGTTTCTCCACGTTTTATATTCTATATAAAAGTAAATATAAAAAATCGTATATTATGAAATATATTGTTTATCTGAAAAGGATTTCTAAATAAAAAAAATCTCTTTTCATCTACCATAAAAGTGATGATTATGCATGCATATATTAAATTAACTAAGAAGATAGCAGCCAAAATTTGAAGTGCTCAAAGAACATTTCAAAGCGGATAAGGATGTTCTCTCAATGTCTCCAAGGCGATAATAATTGTTATTGTTATTAATTTAGCAATTAGGTTTATTTTAAAATTTTCACGGAGAAGAGACGCGGTCTCTAAGGGAGATATTAAAGTTCCTTAACAGTTAAGATCGTCAATAAATCTCTCGTGTATCTTCAATATTTTGTATACCTTATTTATTTCTTTTTTATCTTCGTATAATAATCGTAAACGTACAATTTAAAACAATAGTGCTCGTGTGTTTATGCAATGTACAGGATACTCTTTAAAGCTATAATACAGTTCGAAATGAAATACAAATCAATAGACTATTACTTTAGGTAAACCTTCTTGTTTTTTAATACATTATTTTCACTACTGGATGACAGTGTCCTTCGTGGTTCTTCTTTTTTGATCGTATGCCCGCGCACGTGCGATTCGATACACGCGCGCGTCTCTCCCTCGCGCGTCCTGGGGGCCTCAACAGCTTTTGAATGTCTATCTACAGTTACCTTTTGTTGTAAAATATTATTAGGTTTTACGATATGATTTCCCTCCTTCTCTCCGTTGTCGATAACGCTAACGCATCCGCACGCAATTACGCACTTGTGTATTCGTTATAATACATGTCCGCCATATACCATAGACGGTCGTCGATCTTTGCTCTCGACACAAAAGCTGTACTGTTTAAATAATTAAAGCTATCGGCTATCTACCGGCTATCCAGTATCTACAAAGGATTTATACGTTACACTTGTCCGCTGCGAACGAAGAACAGGGAAACAATCTTAAATATGTATACATATAACAAATCGTAAGGCGTCTATCCGTCGAGTTATCGGACGCTTTGGTCGCGAGATTGCGACTAAAATCCGATCTTCTCATCAACACGAGTCGCATTATTGTTGTACCTGGTAATAAATTCTAAGAAACGAGCTCACATTCGATCTCGGTCGTGAGAATCGACGATTATCTACGGGTTCGCGTTTGGCGGATGCCACGTCAGTCGTATAGTTAACCCAAATCGACAAATCGTAAAGATGAATATTAGACTAATGCTCGAGTGAAATAATTTAGTTTGGTATTCGAAGATGTGTGAGATCGTACGCGTTTGTTCTTTTCCTCCCTACTTCATCGTAACCTGTTCGCATCCGGAGCTTTTACTATCGTAACCCAATCGATGTGTTATTCGATGTAGACGATCGACGAAATATGGATGTTTTCATTGTGATATCGTCTTCGCTTTATATATTGCATTCTCGTCGATCGTCTCGCTACTCAGTAAGACTCAGGATCATTCGTTAGCAGGCGGAATCAGCGTCATTAAGTTACGAGATTTAATCGCACGAGTATAGTAATATGTACATTCGATAATCGACGGATAATGTACGTCCGATCGACTTCCGTTGTGACGATTCATGAAAAACTTAAAAAAAAATCAAGGGTTGAGGAACGGGGAAAAAACAGAATCAATCGATCACTGGTCTCTCGTTTAGCAATGCCCTTCTAAAGCGATCGTCTCGCACGAATTTCTTGCATCTCTCTGCCTCGTACAATATCATTCACGTTTGTTTCGTTTTTTTTTTTACTTTTAACTGCGGACTAGAATTTAATTGAAGATTAAAATTTATTCTGGTAAATACTATAGTTTGATTCGTAATAATTCGAGGACTGTCTTTCTTTTTCTCTCTTTCTCTCTTTTACGAAGTTCATCACGCGCACACACACACACACACACACACGCGCGTTTGCTCATTCGCTCGTCCTTCCGCTCTTAATGTCTCGCTGAATCGCCTCGAAGTGTCTTCTGCACATTTTTCCTTCTCTCTAGGCATCGATTAATTTACGGCAAATTCTCATAATTACGTGTTTCCTTTTGCGCCGCTTATAGTAGCCTGGACGCTGCATTTTCACGGGTCGCAACGAGTGGTCATTGAAACACACGGCTCTTTCTTCTCTTACTTCATCGTTCGTTACTGATTACGCGATTTCATTTTTACGGTGTGCAATGCCGACTGCGACAAGTGAAAATTCAGCGTGCAGTCGCTCAGTATGTACCGCTGTTAGTCTGCCTGGATATATTCGTACGCTATTAGATAGTTAAGTGTGGTAAGTAAGTAAATATACAAGATCGTATGTGTATATGCGTGCGTGTATCTGGGTGTGTACATGTGTGTGTGTGTATATGCATGTATGTAGTCCTTTGTTTTTGTATTCCGAAGTTTCTTCCATTCTTTTCCTTTGTACAGATATTTACACATTGCTAGAAATTGCACGAATTCGCGCAATCTTTCGCTTCGTTCAGTGAAATCGGCATGCTTGTTCATCTTTTGCTCGCACGCCTTTTCTTTTTATGTATCATCGCGATATAAGCTCTATCACATTGGCTTTACAAGCCATATTGTTGTCACGACAATGATTCTAATAATAATAAAATAATGATTACTGATATAATAATGAGAATAATAATAATATAATAATAATAATAATAATAATAATGATAACATAAAAATAATAATACAATGATATAAATATAATACAATAATAATAATCAAAGAATATTAAATAATAATCATTAAAAATATAATTATTTTCATCACCAATGATTTTAGCGCAGCTAATAGTTCCTAACAAATAGAAAAAGGCAATTTAAATAATCATCTCGTGGAACGAATAAATTTACTTCTTTTTTGGTATTTTACATTCTGCAACGCCGTTCAACATATCAACGTAAAAATAGTAATCAATGACAGTGCTCTTGACAACTGAGATTATTTAATAATGATAATTATATAATAATAATATTAATAATTTTTGTAATTATATATAATAGCAGTGATAATAATAACATTGGTAACGGTCTTAAGTGATCATTCTCGCAATTGTATAAATAGATGGATAAGCAAGAAGTAGGAAAAAGAGAAAGGGGAAACGCGTCGAGTCTTAACCGAAAGAGATAAAAAGATACGTAACTGGAGATAGAGAGAGAAGTATACAACATTAACAGCTTAATCGCTATGGAGGATACAGGGAGGCGAGTATAAACAATAACATGAATCACAATTATGCAATAATTATTAATCGGCCGTTCCGTCGCGCGAAATTGTCGTTAAAAATTAATAATAATTCGATCTAACAATTAGTTATTGGGAGATTGCACTGTGGCGAACCCGGACCACCTCCGTTTTCCGTGCATTATCTAGTCCGCTCCTAGTCTCCCCTCCTCTGTGGAATGATACCCAATCGATCATTCATCAACGGGAGGGGTGTCATCCGAAAGCGAAAGCGGCCGGGGTTCTCTCGAATTTCGAGCGAATTGCAACGAGAGCCCGTCGTCCTTCCACAGCCGGCCCCGTTGTACTTCACAGTCCTCTAAATGATACGATCTCGCCGTTGACCCGCGCGCACCGACACTAATTTCGTAACACTTGCCGCATAGAAAACGTCACAATGTGAGTCCTTTTGATTGAGCTCCGTTCAGTTTTGATCGTTTTGTTCTCCTGGCGCTCGTCCATCGACCAAGATATCTTCTCGTTTCCTTTCCGATGACATCTTTTTAGATTCTTCGCGTTCGCCTCACTATGATAATGCCCTCGTCGTAGGCAGGACTCGCACGATCGAGTCCTATAGCTGGTTTTGTCATTTAAAACTTAACTAGACCTCGCGGAACGTCTTTTCTTACAAAGCGTCGTTTTGGCATATTTCAACAATACGACCTTGGAAACATGTCGGACACTCCACTCGAGTTTCGACTTTGTCCGAAGAAGAAACATCGAGCTCGCGGATAATCCCATGGAATTTTATGCCTCGAATTCTCTTTAGTAATCCCACGTTTCCTCCGGTTCGTGTTTCACCACGTCCTTCGGACTTTCCTCCGTGGACTGTTGCGTCTGTTGCGCCGACGGCGGTCTGAGCGACGTCGCTGGACTGTTTTGACCAGATTTTGGACTGGGAAGCGGACTATCCCGATCGGCCCCATTGTTGCCAGACACGGAAGAGACATCGCTCTGAGCATCTTCTTCATATCGATCTTGCACGGGTGTCGGTTCAACTCTTATGGTCTCCTCGGCCTCTCTTTTTACTCCATAATCGTCCGTCTGCATCACACAAACTCCATTGATGATAACTTCGTCGCCTGTTCTCGCTGGTTCTTGCCATTCCGGATTCACCCATTGCGGTGCCGCGGGTTTTCTTCTGTTGGACCTGACCGTCGTAGGTGCCGTCGGTGTTTCTGTAGGTTCTCTCTTTATACTGCTGGCCGAGCCTTCCGAGTCCTCACTACCTAGATTGCTCATCGCATCGTCGACATCTTCGTCTTCGAATTCTTGATTGGGCTCTCTCTTTAGTGCATTCATCGAGAGGTCCAGACCAGAGCATTGTTCTTTCAGTGCATTACCTACGAGGGCCGCGAGGTTAGGATTGAAGTACGGAGAGTAAGGTAAAGGTACATTTCCTAGACCCAGTCTCTCTTTTTGAATCTCCAGCAGTCTTTGGTTTAACAGTAATCTGAATTGAACAGGATCGAACGGTTGACCAGGTTCTCGCGGCGACTGCGGTTCTGGTTGGCCGTGCGGTGTTTGTTGTTTCAGTCTCATTCGATGATTGTGAAACCAGTTTGTTATCGTTCTCGACGACAGGGCCAGTTCACTGGCGAGGAATTCGATGGTAGCCACATTGGGATAAGGGTCTAAGGCGAAAGCGAGTCTGAGGGCTTCCTTCTGTTCTTCTGAGAAAAGAACGCGCTGCTTCTTTCCGGTAGTAGGCCCTGGACCGGGTGATGCCGCGTGATAGAATTCGGCTGTGTCGTTGCTCGAGGTGTCAGAGCTATTATCGTGACCAGGACCACTGCTACGTCGTCTTTTGTTTGCCTCTCGTCGTTCATTCTTCAACGCCTGCAGTCGATCAACGTTGTGTGCATCTGACAGCCAAAGCTGCATTCTAATGAAAGGCTCTCGGCCTTTTATACTAAGCATATGCCACGGTTTCGGTTTGCTCAGTAACTCACTGACAGAGCCCTGTGATAGACCAAGAACTGCTTCACCGAAAATCTTCTGGCCAATGTTGTTAGCTAATAACGCTTCTTTGATCTTTGTTGTGATTGTCTGTGTGTCGAGATCCTGCGTAAGGGCGGCCATCTCGTATACGCTTGGTGAAATGTGAGGATGAAGACTTCGAAGAGGCGATGGAGCCATCTGATGATGTGGCGAGTGTAGTGACATTTGTTGTTGCTGTTGTTGTTGTTGTTTCTTTTGGAGTTCTTGCATGCTGAGCTGAGTATGAGGATGATGAGGTCCGGGTGGGGTTAACATCATCGGTGGTGGCGGCTGTGGATGCTGCGGATGCTGAGGACTTTGTTGTGGTGGGCCGAGTTGCATCTGATTTTCCTGCTGATGCTGTTGGGCTGCTGCTTGTGCAGCTGCTTGAGCGGCGGCCTGCGCCTTCGCTGCGTTCTGAAGCTGTTCTTGGACGAGTTTTGTTGGTGGCATAGGTTTCATAGGTGTTCCACAAGCTGTAACAATAAAAAAATCTGATTAAAGAAATTTAGCAAGTATAAAAGAAAATTTGATAGTCCGAAAGCTCATCTTCTACGGACGTCAAACAATGCAGTTCTTTTACTTCTATCGAATATCATATAAATACAATTTTCAAGTCATTCTATAATAAATTAAAGTTGCATTTCTATGTTACAAAAATGTCATGCTTATTTAAAATCGCTTTTTATCACAACAAGATACACGACAACTTATCATGATGTCGTGCTTGACAAACATACCAGAGCTCCCGAACTACGTTTATAATAAAGTAACAAAACATCTATATTGACCTGAGTTAAACTTACGAGGCAGGCCGCCGTAGCCGCCGGTCCTCATTAGCTTCTCCGGTGCGATCTTGTATTGGCTGGCGACGAGTTTGTGCACCGCGTTGTCATCTTCGAGGAACATTTTCATCCGGATAAAGGGTTCACGACCTTTTTGAGTTAGCATGTGCCACGGTTTTGGACGCGCGAGAAGGTCTGATACTGATCCCTGAGATAGACCCAATACTGATTCGCCGAATAGCCGCTGCGAAATTGAATACTGAGACAGCTGTTCCTTCACCTGTACATTAATAATAGGACAAAAATTCGAAATTAGATACAATACAAACAATAAATTATACAATCAATACTCGTACCGTGGCCCTTACCCTTTTCACAATATCTTCTGTATTAAGATTATTGTACAGGTCGAACTGCTGCTGTGTGATCGGAGGAAGCACAGCTTTCAGTGGTCTTTGATTGGCCGAATGATGAGTTGGGGTGGACGGTTGACTTATCAGACTGTTCGTGATGGAGGCCATTCTCTGAAGAGGACTGGCTGCCGCCGCACTGGAGAACTCTTCGTTAGGTGTCATCGCAGGGGGAAGTATGGAATTGCCAAGCGGTGAACTCGCGCTAGAACCGCCAGGCGTCGATTGAGGACCTGTCGATTCTTGCTTTGGCCTCACCAAAGAGAATGCACTTCCGGCGTGTCTCATCGCCTCTTCCATCTTCTCTTTTTCTTCTTCCGACACACCGTTTATCATTTTATTGCGCGGATCCACTTTACCTAAACTCAAGTCCTGAACACCACCACCGCCGTTCGCGGCTAGATGATGTTGTTGAAGAGCTTGTTGCTGAAGTGCCAACAAACCTGGTAATCCAGGCAATCCTGGCAGTCCGGTCATCGAGGGATTCTGACCTGGAGCTGCATTCAATTTTTGGAGCTCACGGTGATAAGCGTCCAATGCCAATCGAATGTCTTCCTGGGTGCGCTCGATGCCTTGAAGACTGCTCTGCGTACCGCTGAAAAAATGTGGAAACATCGCGCTACGATCAATCGAGGTCATGTGCTGTCCTCAATAATGATCAATCACAGTAAACGTAATCGCACATAAACATTGTATTATCAAAACCGTCAATTTCAAATTACATTTCACATAGAAAAATCTTTTTTTTAAATTATAGATACAATGTATAATCGAATATGTACATCATATTCAAATGCATTGAGCATTTTTATTTGAGCTACGTAACGTAGAAAATTGCACCACTCAAATAAGGTTTTCTTAGCACGAAACGATGATTTGCTCTTGACATTTCGTGTCATATCTGAGCATAGGATATTAATTCGGTCGTGTATGTTATCCATTTAGTTATCATCATGCATTGGCAGATATTGTGTATCATTTGAATGGGCTGCGATATAAACATCGTAAGAAAATCCACGTCATTAATCGTCGATCTTACCTAGGGAACTCTCGCGGACGAAGATTCTCCACTCTCGTGCCCATCAGCTTAGCCAATTCTTCTTGGTAAATCCTTACTACCTTCTCCTGGGGAATGTCGTCGTTTTCGTACTTCTTCAGTCTCCTATTTTGGCTGTCCAGTCTGTCTTTGTTGAACGGACTCGGGCAACCGATTCTGTTCGGACTCTTGCTGTCAGCATCGTTCGATATCTCGTGTTCACCTCTCATTTGCATATGGCCTGATTCCAGAATATGTGCCAATCTTTCATCACTCATTTCTTGCGGACCACTATCCTGTGGTCCACGTGCGAATGCTGGCATTCCTTGCTCCTTGCCTGAAACATACTCTACGGGTGAGGCACAATTTGTGGTGTATTCTTACTCAGTTTGGTTGGTCTTAGAAATATAATCAGATATATATATATATAAACATAAATGTAAATGAAAAACATAAATAATTCGCGACGCGGTGTTTAGTTGATTTTTGGTAGCAGTGCTACCAAATTTACTATTTTCGCTCATTTTTCTCTGCTGAAAATTCTATGTCTTAAAAAAATGATGTTACTTTTTGACATCATATAATTTATATATGAATATATGTATTGTTGTAAAATCTTAAATTGATCTTACAAATTACATATATTTTCTAACGAAAAATGTTTATTCGAAAATAGTAATCTGTGTAATTAATAATGATCAATCATATTTGGAGGATTTTACGTTCCTAAGCAATTAATAATGCGCGCAATCGATAACTGCGTGCTGAACCCAAAGGCAAAGTATACTCAACGACGATAATTAAAATATCCTCTTTTGGACCTTCTCCCTTGCGGTCTTTCCCTTGCACGTCGGCAGGAGTGTAGTCCTCCTACGTGTTTCCCGTCTAATTGACCAATCAGCTGCAAGATTCAGACGAACGAACTACCGATCATGTCTTTGATTGCTCTCGCGAGCATTGCACGCGAATCGACGAGAGAAAGTGGCTTGACAAGCGGCGTAAGAATCCCGTACGTATTTTGACGGTGAAGAAGAAGAAATAATCTTCGAGCGATTTGTCCATCAAGATATGATGTTCCTTACTTGAACGTGCATAGAATCCACAGTATTTCCACAATTGCGAGTGTAGTGAACGATTCTTGCCAGACGCGATTCGAGAGCTATACGTTTTGTATCATTATCTTGTATCATTTGTGTTGCGTAGATATGATTACTTCTAATCCTAATAAGCAATCGCAAAGTCCTTAGGCGAGTGCCACATTAAGAAGAAGAATGTCTCTTTTTTATCGTTTCTCTGATTAGAGTATCACATAGCATACATTCTCCACGAGAAATTTACCTCCCCTTGCAATAATACATGTAAGTCGCATTCCATCATATTATACGCTCTAACGCTGATAGATAATGGTACCTTCGTTAGAAGAAATCGACAGGCTTGCCGATTAAGATAACGATAGCGAAATGTTCATGCAATTGACAATCAGGTGGGTGGTGCGAAGCATTCAAGTGAAATCGAGAAAGGAGAGAATGATGACGTATTATGCATATCCGCACGATCGCGCATTGTCGCAACTTTTGAATTCCTGCCAACAAGCTCGTGCTTCTGCTCTCTTCATGCGCCTATGACTATACGTACAGAACTAATAAATGTTCTTTCGTAGAACAGATTCTGGATTTGTTAAGATCAGCTGCTATTAATGACGCGATTTCAAAAATAAGAAATTGTAGATATCGTGATGACCGATATAAAATAATCCTCTTGGCAAACGTAATTGGAAATGTGTCAAAAAGATTGCTCATAAACAAATGTTGTAAATTTTTATCATATTATAAATACACATTGTTATATACCGGCAATTTTATCGCTGAATTCGGAGAAGCGTGTGTAACGATTATGTTACTTACAGGGAATGTTTGCGGGGGTATACCGAGATAAAAGAAATGAGGTCACTATTACACCTTTTCTATATGGGTGGGCCATCTGCGATGCCAAAATCAGCGCTATCATCATCGAACGGAATATATCCTTTGAATTGCGGTAACACAGTAGCTTCATTCGAGGAATCACATTAAACTGTAATCACATAATGATTGTCGATTGGATTACGATTATGATTGGCAATTGGCTGAAAAATAATCGCCAATCACAATCGTGTAACTCAATTGGCAACCGGTAGTACGATTACGGTTTTACATATAGGTTTAATTAATTCAAAATGAATATGAAAATGAACGAATTTTATTGCCGACTCACGCACACAACTTTGCTGCTGTATCTAAACGCTTGTTGATTGCTATTATTGAAGATAATTAATTTTGATATATAGCACTTTGAAATTCTATACTATTATCGTTCAAACCAAATGCTGCCACATGACAGAGTAGCTCAATCTTGCTGGAAACTGACGGTGAGAGATTAGTTACTTGCGTCACTAACATCTTCCTTTCCGTACTTCGACGGCATCACGTGGGAAACCTTACGCGCATCGTACGGAATCGTGAGCGCCAGTTGATTATTACGCTCGAGAACCAACATCCTTTAGCAACTTTCTCATAGGAAATCTACAAATAAGTAGTCGGGCAACAAATATTATCGGACGAACGCGATCGTGGGCGATACTTTACGACGACGCGTCCAACATACAACGACGATGAGCGCAATTCTTTACTTGTCACATATATCCGCAGACGTTCTCATTAGCCCGGATACAATGAATAGTATCGCCGCAATTTCACAATGTTTCTCTCAATTAAGAAATATTTTTCCACAAGTTTGCTTAATCACGAATCAACTTGTGTGCTACTTTTCAGGCGGCGAGTATAGCGTGTGTATTGCGGTAGGTTTTAATGAAATTAGATTTAGGAGTATTTCATCAAGTTCTGAAGGATGTTACATTATGACGGGAAAGGCGTTAAAATCAGACTTTGAAAAATAAGCGTGAGTGCATTGTACATTCTCAACAGTTGGATGATAAAAGATTTTCATCTCATCGCTGCTTCGATCGCTCACACATGCGTCAATTTCTCACGGTTTGAAAAACCTCGATGACGGGATAAAGTCGCTTGGAAAATGGCCCGGTTGTTTACGCAACCGTCGCGGCATGTCCCGCATTGTTACGAGCTTTGCGCACTAAATCCATACTTTTCTCAGCGATTGCGCGCCCGCCGCTGGCACCTTCGTCTCACCTGCGGATGGCGAAACGTCACGGTCGACGTGCGTCCCGATCGCGTCGCGGCATCAAAGACCGGTTACGGAGAATCGACGAAAGAGAGAACAATCGCGTCCGTCCACGCTACACAATAGGCACGACGGCGACGCGCGAAGGAAATGTTCGCGTACGCGTACGCGTACTCGTGCGTGTTTCGCCGGAAAGGAAACCATACTGTATACCGGCGGCAATTATATTCGCGCCGTAAAATTGTCTCGACGCATGCACGTGCACGCGACGCGACCCGCGCACACACGAGCGCGCACGCGGCGCGAAATAAGAGAGAAACGTCGACAATGGACCTGATTACAAAATCTGGAACGATTTCGTGGGAGTTCGCCGGTAACGGTGACTTAAGAAATTCACCCGATTGTTGCCGGAGTTATGGGTTACGATGCTTCCGAGCCGCTATACGCGTTGCGACTCGCGATCGCACGCGGGATTTGTGCATGCGCCGTGTATGGAAGTCTACGATCTTCGCGTCAACTCGACTTTTTTCGTAAAATATGGACGTTAATTCGGAGAAAATCATGTATATTCTGTTATATGATATTTAAACAACGTAACTCGAGATAAATACATCCAATAATTTTATTATCTCGATGCTGCTCGTTAAAAGAGAAATGAATATTTTGTGAGTCGTCCACGATATGCTAATTCGCTGAACGATCAATACTTCAGAGGAAATATGTTTACCATAATGATGTCATTTTAGAGATAAGCAGAACAAGTGCACACATATTTGTTCGTATATTTTACCATGCGGAGCGGGAGGGCATTCCAATCACTTCGTACAGTGCATCTAAATGCAAATTTAAATACCTCATCAGAATGTGGATCGAACAATTATTAAGTAATTTAATTAGCGACACCGCGAAATGCTGAAAATATAAAATAAGTAACAAAATGCTAGTCTCTTCGAATACCGAGTTTAAAGTATCAATCCCGTGGGGAATCTAGATGTTATCGGTGAGCATACGATTGCACGCACATCGGATCCTCGTTTGCATCATCGTTAAGAACCCAGACGCATTTGCACCCGAAAATTCTGAGTAGGTCGTGCGCACATAACGTGTCTCGTCGCGGCGAGGCGTCAAGATGTGGAAGGATACGAGCGGTACATGAGATCCGATAAAATCGGCGCGCAAGGCGGAGCTAATGAACGAAACTTGTTCGCGCGGGATACAGTTGAGAGCGTTGCGCTCTGCAGCCGTTTGCGTGCACCTGTGCGTGCACCTGTATATAAGAAGTATTTTCCTCGTTACTTTTGCGGGTGGATGTGTGTTGTATACAACAGCTTGTTCAACTAACGGTGAGATATACGACGTCCGTAGAACCGCAAGGCATCGTCGTGTCACGTCGATTCTTTTTCCGGACAATTAAAGAATAATCGAGCACGTAACAAAAAATCGTTTTGAATTATAAATTGAACCATTTCGATCTTAGAGATTTTCAGTGACTTACAATGAATTAATTTCTATTTATATGGACAGATAATTTTGAGGATATATTATGTGTTACATTTCGAAGTATTAACAAAAATATTAACATTTTATAGATTCTGTTCTATTATTACGTCTAGAGTATCTAGAGTATCTAAAATTGGAGCACTGTCTTATTCATGGTTTAAAAATTATTTAATATTCTTGATTTTTATGTAAATCACGTTTTGTAGTATTTATTTAATTATTATAAATTTATTAAGATCGTAGTATTATGAATTAAATTAAATTTTATGTATATATGTAATTCTAATATTTGTACAGAAGTTTATTTGGCTCCACTTACTCGTTTAAAAATTATTTATCTCAAATTGCAGTAAAATATGGTCATTTTGCTGCACATAAAGCTATTACAAGCAAAACGGTTTGTTTTATTTTTTTCGGTTTCAGGGTATATTTATGATACATTTTTTTAAGATAATGATATTAGCTGATATTGACTTTTGAACTGATACTTTTAGTTGATATTGCATAGGACTCTTAAGAATCGTAGAGAATTTCGCGACACTCTGATTTCAGTATAATTTATCTTTTTTTTTTTTCAGATTCAGATAATACTATTTTGTAATTAAAAACTGTTTAAAAAACTATTTCAACTATCTTTGTAAATAATAATTAATTTTTCCATAAAAACTATAATATAAAGATCTAATTCTTCGAACGATGACAATCAGTTGGTCTTCTTATGACCTCTGTAATTTTTATTTAACCTATATGTGAATATATAGATACATATATATGTAGCTCAATTGATATTGTCACTCGTAAATATTACATGAGTTTTGAAATCGTTGTCACATTTCGATAATGTTATCTCTCTTTCGGATCGGGTCAATGTACGCAGATGAAATACTTTTATAATCGCAATCGTTGGGTGAACACTTTTCTGGGTTCGACACTATTCTCTATGTATACTTAGTCGTTTCTTTTGAAACACCGCTAATTATAAAGTGAGAATAATAAAAAACCTATATTCATGCTCTTCCATAAAATGCAATAATTATATCAGTTATAAAAGTATAAACGTCCTGTCGTTCGTAACGAAAATCATAGTCATATGACTGTGAGCATGGCTCGTAACATTTCTCGCTGCGGTTACAAATCATCGTAACTATGATTTTCATCCGTGACGGTCGTCGCGAAAAGTCTCCGGGAGACTCCGGCGGATCGCACGTGTGCGACTCACCGCTGCAGGAAACAAAATTTTGCAATAAACTGACTTGGAGCTAAACCAACTATGTTTATTACGGTAATCTCGCGTTGTTCTTGGTTGCGCTTAGATCAATTGTGTTGTAGCGCTCCGCGCAAGCAATAATACACCACTCAGACGTGCCGTGCTGAATAGTGGGCCAAGATCCAGATACGTTTGTCGTAGGATTAGTAGTTTCCACGAATGCGCGATTTTTGCGGCTTATCTTAAGCGACTGACTGAAAGCTATCTACGTAATTTATATAGCCGTTATTTAGATCATTGGAAGACCCGAGAACTCTGAGCTACATTAACTGGATCCAAATCGTGTCACTCTGAACTACACGTGAATAAATTCATTGTCAGCACTTGACATAGCAACCTTGACGCGAGTAAATTTTCGTGAAAATTAACACGTTCATAAATAAGTATGAGTGTAAAGATTGAAGAATATCGCGTGAAGCAGACTGTGAAGACTAATATAATAGAGCTTTCGCTTGGTACACGATAATTATGCGCACGATTTACGTGATATCGAAGGATAAACTTTGTAATATTGTCATAACAAAAATTGTGAATCAATACAGAATCATTTCATCTCAAAATCAGTAGCCTATTATTGTTATCATTATTATGTAATGATAACAATTTTTAAACGCACGAATGATAAATAAGATGATCAGAAAGGGGATTCACAAATCACAATAAAGCTTTCAGTGACAGGTGGATATCGCGCCTGTGCTTGTCTATATAGCACGCGATGAGTCGTTAGATCAGGTATTTAGCCCGACGCAAACTTATCTCAACCGACACCTCCACCAAAGCTAGGCGGCGCCTTTCAGGCTTTATAAAGTCACTGATTTTTGCCCATAAATCACGTCTGATTATAGAAGTTTCGGACATTACTCCAAGTATATTTATGCTATTGAATCACGGTGGATTCTCGTTACGACCACAAAGGGCTTATGACCATGATTCATACGAACAAACGATCACAGTGAACGATTAATCCGATAACTAGAGAAACGTATTGACGATAGTGCGCTATATTTTTAACACAGATTTGAATTACCCAATTGATTATAATTATTTTTGAATGTTAAAAAAGGAACACGATTTGTAACATCCATTAATTATTTATGCAAATAACACGACTCAGAAGAAAAATTGAGAACTAAAATAAAATCCTGAAATAATATTATTATTTCAGCGTATTAACAATAATCATCAATATTTTTTTATTAAAATTTTTTTTTCCTTTCACGCCTTACTTGACTAATTTCGATCGCATTAACAGTGGTTCTTGCAATTTTGATTTACTGTCGCGCTCACGCCACGGAATAATACACGCGTCCCTGTAATTTTACGGCTGACGTATCGAGAAATGTTACGATCCCCTAAGTTTTTGTCGCCGGTTCCCTCCCGCCACCCTACGATCGTCCTAACCCTTCATTCCATTTCTGTTCCGTCCCTCCCTCTCTCGCGTGCACTCTGCCCTATCCGCTGTAATGCCCCGTGATTGTTGTTACCAGAGATCCGACGGAAACCGACAATCCATTGATGCGGGACGCATGTCGTGCTCCGACTGAATTTTATACACGTTTTATTTCGTCACCGGACGTGAAGGGAAAATGATGGCATTGAGTCAACATCCTGCGCGATTGATATTAATATTTACAAAAAAGCGGAAGGGATCGCACGGTCGTGTATTGCGAGTTTATACGTGCGTCGCTGTTGTGCGAGCATATTTTGTGAATGAAGCGCGTAGAAAAAAAATTATTACGATATTACACTCATGTACTTGTCAAACATAACTCTATTATCATCGAGAATAGATGTTTTTCTAATTACTATGAGTGTATCATGAGAATGTTCACAGCGATGCCAAGATAAATACCGTTTATTCGCTATAATCTAGCAAAGCCGTGACAAGCGGAAAAGTGTAAATTGCCTTCCGATAGAGTAAAAGAGACCGACGCATTTAGGATTTCAATGTTCTCCACTGGATCTTCCTTTCTTCCCCCATCTCTTCCCTTTCTATATACCGCGGAGCCCTTTATACATCTCACCCCTACCTAGTGCTCATCCGGGACTTCCTATTCCCAGGAGCTATTAGTCTAAACAATATGGCTGCCAAACGCAGCATACAATCGATAGCGGGCAAGATATGCCAACGAGCTGCGTAATTTAATTAAGACTGTAGTTATTCAAGTCTAGCACAATGTTTTTCTTCATCAAATATTGAGCACAATATGACTTTGATAACAACACGATATAGCGGTGTAACAAAGTACTTTTTATCTCATAATTACACATAGATAAACTTATTATAACTATCGATTCCTATTCGTGTACAATTATTGCAAAGTTCTACAAAATCATAGATTATTTCACTGCAATCGATTTCTATCAATAATTTGTAGGATTTATCAATCTCACTTTTCTAACTTATAACCATAGCGAAAGCCCACGATGTCACCAACGCATATACTTAACTCCCTAATGATTCGCGTGTACATGAAGAGGGATGAGATCTCTTGAGCGTTCCTTTCCCGCGGTGCAGTTAGAGGGAACGGAAGTACCATCCCGCGTTAGGCAGCCGAAAGGTTAGCTGACAGCTCGTGGTTAGTGATTCGGCGAGATGGATTATTGGCAGTGCGAGGCGGAAGATTTCGAGAGTTAAGTTAATCGATAAGTTCGTCGTCGACGATGAAGGCAGAAGTATATTGTGACGAATAATTCGTAGGAATTGCTGTTAATGTCTCAAAAATCGAAGACGGAATGTGATTAACAATGTAATTACACACTTAAGATAGCAAACTATTCGACCGCGTGCATTCTCGAATGATTATATTGAACTTGATCATAAACGCGATTTATCGCGCTTATGAGAGATGGAAGGAAGCGAAATTAATCATGATTGCTACAAGTATCCGCTACAATGTGGCGGTATGTGTAATTACGATGTCTCGTCCGTCTTCATAGACATCGAGGTGTCAGATGATCCAGCCTTCGTCGTGTCGGACATTACGCAGAGGCGCGTCGAGAAAAATTGTACGAAACGATTGAAATAAAAATTAAAAAACTTAGTGAGAAACGGAGAGAGAGAGAGTGAGAGCTGGAACTGATGATCGGTACTCACCTTTCTTGGGGATGAGGGACTTGAGCAGCATCACGGCGTTCTCGTCGCAAGCCCAACCGTGCATCTTCCGATAACTGTCGCGGCCCTTTTCGGTTAACTTGTCCCAAGGCTTGGGCTTGCTAAGCAACTCGCTGACTGTGCCTTGACTTAGCCCGAGGACATATTTGGCGAATAGTCTCTGACCGATATTGTGTATCGACAATAGTTCGCGCACCCGCCTGGCTATGTGAAGAGTGTCAAGATTTTGTGAGGCGTACTTGTCCATATTATGACGTAACATTTCCTGCAATCTCGCTTCCATGGGATCGCCCTTTGGAATGAGAGACTCGCCCAGCCGACCGGCCATACCGGCGGCACCGAACTCGTCGCCGAATCGGAAGGGATACGTTCGATCGTCAAACCGAAACGGACTTTTCAACGTATCAAGAACGCTTAGTCCGCCGATATTATTATTTGCTAGATGATGGCTATTGTTATTATTGTGACATGATTCTTGATCAGGCGGACTCTTCGGGGGCGGTGCACTTGATACGCCGGACGTGAGACCGCTGCCATTGATGGAAGCTGAAGGAGTATTAGTTTCCACCATCGACGTCGGTGGTTGGAAGCTCGGTGGCGATGTCAAGGCGGTTGTGGAGGATGGTGTTGGAGGAGCTGGTGTGTCATGTCCCGATACCGGCGTTGGAGCTTTCTCAGTAACATCTAGACTGCCCAAGGATATTGTACCGATCGGTGTGTTCGATTTCACCGGAGTGTTTGAAGTGGACGATGGATCCGCACCCGGTGATGGAAGATGATTTAAACTACTTGGCGTTGTTGGCGGGTGTAAGCCCATGTGCGGCTGGGCTTGTTGTAATTGTTGTTGTTGAGTTAACTGGCTTAATTGAGATGGCTGTGATTGTTGCTGCTGTTGTTGCTGTTGCTGCTGCTGTTGCTGCTGCTGCTGCTGCTGTTGTTGCTGCTGCTGTTGGTTCATGATAGACCTTTCCAATGTCCGCCTCCAATTGGCGACGATTTCTTCACCGAGAAACGAGCCGAAGGTCTCGACGTTCTGTAGGGGTGGCGGGAAGAGGAGGCTCGAAGTCGTCGAAGTGGCCGAAGAGGGCGTCGGGGTGGAACGTGGAGGGAGGGAAGCTGCTGTCGGAGGCGGTGGCGGTGGTTGCTGGGAGGACACATGGGACGTAGGTGGCACACCTCCGACCCCGTGGGGCGAGGCGGTCGAGGCGCGCTGCAGGGGTGACGATAATCCACCTGCAACCACCAAAAACACAAGGGAGCCCGTCAGCACGATCTCACGCGTACATGACATTCAACCTAACTTCGGCTCGCGATGTTGGTCCCGTTCTGATCGCCAGTTTTGTCCGCGCTGTCTCTTTCGAAGTGCGAAATCGACCGGTGTGACCTCGATTCTCTTGATCATCTTCAGAGACGTCGGATGACCGAGACTCTCTTTTTCGACGCTTCGTCGAATCACAATCCACGCTTGAGTGTACAAACGAGGAACGACGTGGACGCCAACGAGAGGAAGACTGGTGGAGACGTTGCCGATCGCCCGGAAAGAAATCGTGGACGTAAGGATACCGTCCATCTCGCGTTGAATGTTGACCGCGATGACGCGTGCGGATTTGAGAAATCACGTCAAGTAAGACGCATCTTTTTTGTCTAGCGATGTGTGTTTGTCGCGAATATCAGAGTACGAAATATCGAAGGGCTGAGAACAAAAACGCTGTCTGGGAAGTATTGTGTAATCTGTTAAGTACCATCGAGACTGGTCTCGAAAAGGATTTTATATTGCCACGTGATCTTGGCATACAAAATATTTGAAACTTTTACGTAAATACGGTGTTCTTATTTCGTTACGATCGAAGGAAGTAATAGCGGGATTGGAAAGATAGGAACGCAAGCGACGACGACGTAGAAGGATGGGTTCAGTCGGTTTGATTTAGAAGGGGCGACACGTTGCAGTATCCCTCTGGCTCTCTGCATGTATAAGGTATCTCTTTCTCATTCCCTCTCATCGCGTGCTCTCTCTGTCAGCTTGGATCGATTCATAATAAACTCTGTCCCCGAAACAATGGCTTGGCCCGGGCAAATATTGCGAATATCGTCCACAAATTTGCGTGCACGAAGTTTGCGTTTCCCAGTGTACGGATGGAAATGGAAAAGGAGAGAAGAGCGGTTTAGAGGACCCTTTACGTGGACAAGAGAGGAATATTTGGAACATTCGGTAAGAGACAGGATAGGCTTACATGAGAGAAAGGGCTAACGTGTGTTCGGTTAGTACCTTCCACGAATGTACATTAATATTAGCGAGAGAGTGACTCGAAAAAAGTGCAGTCTAAGCAGCCAAGTTTGGAGAGATGATATGTATATGAGAGAAAAGTAGAGACGATAGGAATGGTAAAACAAAGATAGACTGGACAGAGAGAGAAAGAGAGAGAAAGAAAGAGAGAGAGAGACAGAGATGGAGAGAATTAAAAAGGAAAATAGTATGAAAGGCAGAGAAAGACAGAGAGAGAGTCAGAGAAAAGTGCGAACACAATGGCAAGCAGGGTTATTTTTGTTGTTCTCTTTTCCGATAAGCTCCTTCAGTCATCCCTCGTTTATTCTATAGAAGCGTTCTTGCGTCCGCGTTGCGTGACTCGTGTCCTTTTCATTGTTACTCGATGATAAAGCCCGTCGACGGAGCCTCGAAGAGAGAGAGTCGGGGACCGAAGATCAGAGCGGTAGCGCAAGAATTAGAAGCGAGATCGCCAAGGTGTGACCGACCTACCAACACCTTGTTACTATTATTAACTATTACTTCTTTCAATTATGAAAACAGATCCTTATACGATCACAAATTTTTTGCATAAATATTATATAAATTAATTTTATTTATTTGCTGTATGTATGCTCTCGATTAATTGACGTTATAATCCATATTTGGAGATATTTTTTAATGTTTCAATTTTTTCGAAAAAAATTATTTTTTATATAAATTATATTACAATGCTGGAAACCTGATTTTGCAATACCGCGCGTTTTTTTTTCAATATCTTACAATTAAAATTAAGTGCTTCGCATATCTTTGACATGTAATGATTTTAAGTAAAATATATCGTTAGTCCACTTACCGAGTGCATCTGGTGTATTGGAGGGTTTCAAGGTTTCGGCTTGCTGAAGCGCTTTGAAACGTTCCATAAGAAGATGTTCCAAGCTCTTTCCAGGTTCGCCAGTTGGTATTTGCGAAAGGTCGACTGATCTCAATACACTGATTTCGCGCTTCAGGTCATCATAGTCCCTCTGCCGTTCCAATTTGCTCTCCAATCTGTTGATGTGCTGCCTGCGCACTTCGAGTTCCTCCTCAAGCCGTGCCGTTGCTTGCGCACTTGTTTCCTGAAGGCGTTGCAAGCTCTGTTGTAGCCTGGACACCTCCTCAACCAACTGGTTGATCTAGAAATAGCAACATCAACCTCGTTAACTGTCTGATAAAATTATATTCGTGTAAATTGCAAATCAATAATGCGTATAAATTTCAGTTGGAACATCTTAAATGTTAATATCTCTGATGTCTCGCCTCCGTTATGTTTATTAAATGATACTGACGATAAAATTTCCTGCATTAAGGAAGACATTGCGCGATATAAATCACAGGAATTGCTACTTCTTGAAATATCGCCGAGTACTTTCGCATCGCTCATCAGGAAATCGACTCGAAGCGATTAAATGGAGATGGAACGTAACTACATTATCATCGACACAAATATAGAATCACATTTACGAGTTCCTCTCCCTCCTTCGCGATTCGCCACGAGCATCGTTTATCTGGGACCGAACCTAGTAAGGAGCTTACCAGAAGCTCTTTATTAATTTTATCGGGAATATATACGGAAATCAATAGCGAAACGCTTAAGAGAGGATAACTTTAAATCTTGGCGAGTCTAAATGTAATTACCGTGGATTAAATTACGTATAAAGTTTCAATCGAATCGATCAAATCGTTGAATTGTCATCCAATTATCATGTCAGTAATAATTTATAACATATGTCACCGACTAGTCTCGTCGCTTCGACACTTGAAGTTCTTGAAGTTCGATTAGACAATAAATATGATATCGCAGTTATCTTGTTGTCAATAGAATATACGACTTTGTGAAAAATTATTTCATTTAGCAATTCTAATTTCTACGTTTTTATAATTTCTAATAATAAATTATATTGTTTAAAATTAATAAATTAGTGTGTGTGTGTGTTAGTGTAGTAGTTTCGAAAAAAAATTTAATTAGCGATTCTCAAGGATAATTTCTGGCATAATTATGATAAGAATTTAAATGCTACGAAATACTAATTAGCGAAAAAAATTAAGTATAGTCTACAGGACAAAAGAATCAATGACATTTATACCCACGGTGTCGCCCGCAGCGACGTATACGAAGTATATCCGTCCCTCATTAATGCATCATCGATCCGCACATAATAATTACAGTGCGACCGAACCGTCTTGTTTTTCCGTCTCTATAACGAGGACGAATCCGGGATGTTGAAAGAATCGAGTGGCAGCAACGGCGGCAAAAAATTATCGCGACGAATAGAGCGTACGGCAATCGTTGTGTTGCCACTGTGCCGCAATCAATCGCGATGAATTGCGAGCACTCGAAACCTATCCACGTGTTCCGCGAGGGTTCACGTGGATGTGTGTACGCGAGGAATAGGATGGAAAGGGCAGGTTGTGCAGGCGCAGGAAGAGGAAGCGAGAAAGCCGATCAACGAGGGGTGGGATGGGACGATTTTAAAGCCGAGTACGTTGGTGCACGCTGTGCGACGAGCTATGTACGTGAACGAGATCGTATCAATTGTTTTTTCTCGCCGAGGCATCATCTCTCTTTCCGTGCTTCGCGAGTTAATCGAGAAGCAACGACTTCAATTTTGCAAAATTCGCACCCCTGCCACAGATGTTGATACACGTGTTTAGCATCTTGCGCGGTCACCGCGTTCTCACAGTTCAATTTATTTAAAACAACACGTAAAAATTTCTTTTTGTTATGTATTCGGTCAACAATCTAATAACCATACGTATCGATTGAGTTTTTATAATTTAATGAAATTAACTACATTCCTTTGGCGCCTTGTAACGCCATGACTCATCGTAGTAGCGTAAAATCGAACAGCCTTGACGCACGCGGTAAACTTGCACGTTTTTACTCGTTAGTTTATTTATCGGGGGCGGCTACCTGTCGATTGTCCTCCGTTTTACCCATAATCGATATACACGCCTATGTCTAGAAGCTCCGTTTCTACTTGTATAGATATGCGCGTATGTGTAATAAACGAATACGAGAGTGCGTGTTGTAGCGATGTCGCAGTCATAGACACGCATACACGTACACGTAGCGTACAGGTAAGAACAGAGACACGGGTGTAGACAAGTACGCATTGACGTTCGATATACCATCAGGTAGGAAGGGGTGGTTGCTACTGGCGGAAGGTGGCTTGTGTAGGGATAAGTTTCCGAAGTTGCCGCGATCGCTCGCAATAATGTCCGCCATTAGCGACGATGGGGTAGGTTATCGCCATGAGGGAAACCTGAAACGAAGGACAGGTGGAATTAACACCACGTCGATCGACGAACTTACGATAAATACGGCGGCGACCCAGCGAATACCATGCGTGTGTGTGTGTGTGTGTTTTTTTTTTTTTACGTGACGGACAGTCACCCCTTGCGTTTGGTGTTATGGAAGAGCGCGGTCTATCGATACTACTCTTCGTCTCTTTCGTGACTACTGTTCAACGATGCGAATAATAAAACGAAAAATCAACGCGTACAGTGTAAAATGTAATCATATGTTTCTTCAATTAGAGAACTATAGAGCGAATAAAACTCCAGAATGCCTACTTTAAACTTTTTTCTGTTACAAAGAAGAAACAATTATGACTATCTATATTATTAAACATATGTGTGTATGTATCATGTATGATTTTTTAAAGTGTTTAGTTATCGCGACAATGAAATCATTTTAAATATACAATCTAAGCAATCCCAATATATTCTCACAATATTTGTAATTCATTAATATTACATAATATTTATACACATATATAATATTTAACGATTGATTTTATCTGTATAAATGGTATTTATTTAGTTTTACATCGATCTTAAATGAGATGAACTATTTAATAAATTTTTTTTTCATATTTGGAATAGGTATATAGATAAATATGAATTTTGTGATGTCTACACAAATATAATTTAGTACTGATCACATTTTATTTTGTAATATCACACATTGACATTTTATGAGCTGAAATGTAATTTAATATGTCGTTATGATGGTAACGACGGAAGATTTCTATTTCCTTAAGTTGATTCGCTAAAATATCGGTAATATTAATAGCCATATGCTATTTGAAGATGACCGCGTAAAAATCAATGGGCTTCGATTAAATTTAATATTTCCGGGAAGTTCATAAAAATCATGAACTCTCGATTATTACAATCGTTTGGTATATTGAATTTCAACTTTGTGATATATTAATTTTTTTCCAATTTACTTCGCGAATAATTTTATTTTTATCGAGAGAGAGAGATTTCGCATCGTGTCATTAATGCGATGAAATTAGATAAACACATGTTTTCGTATATAACAAATTAATTTAATAATTAATTTTAATTATAAGAATAATACACGTCACATAAAATTGTACATATTCAATACTGTATAAATAAAAAATCACAGAAATAATTGCATACAGCATATTTTGGAAAAAATAATTGAATAATAATTAGTTTATTTTACGTAGGGAAAAGTTGAAGAAGGGTCGAGATTACGAAAGAAACAAGAATGAAGAATTATCGCTAGGGATGGCAAGTAAAGGGTAACGGATGTTGGCAGGTTTTCTACGTTAGAACAATGTCATCGGTAGAAGGAGAACCGCTCGTTAGCGAGATTCTCGACTGTTGCAGAGCCACACAAAGTCGGTGTGCGCGCATAAGAGACGTACGTGTGGGGGGTAGTGACCAACGAGCAACCCCCAGCACGAAGGCGTTCAATCCGGGTAAAGTGGGGGTGAGTTGAAGCAAAAACAATCGGGGCTTGATCGATGGTCGTGAGGTATGGCGACGAGGATGTGAAGGCGAGTCGGAAGACATGATCGGTCGTATGCAAATTAAAGCGAGGACGGTGGGCTCCGAGCTGGCTCGTAGGGAAGAACCGGAGGGTGCGAAGTCGAAGGGTACGCGGAGGGTGTGCGCAAGGGTTGCCTGTACGCGGTGGTGGTGTCAAGCAAACTTGAAGTAGCCGCACGCGTCCGTATTGTTTCTTGACCGTCGCACCACCCTATCGTCGCCCACCCCCTTTTCCACGATCCCACACACGTCCTCTTCCCTTCGCAACCCCCTTAATCCTACGCGATTTTTGCTATTTGCATTATATAGGCGTTGGAGGCCTTTGTTTGTTGAGCTATTGATCACATTTTCTCCTGCGGTATAATCAATCTTCACGCATACGTCCACGGCCTTTCTCATCCTTACGTGTGTACACGCACGTGTGTATGTGCGCGCGTACACGTGCGAATATATGCACGGACGCGGTAGCTCGAGTAACGCGGCTCTCCGATATCCATACGCCGCGGCACATTAGAACCCCTTTTCGTATACGTACGTAGATTCGGTACAGGGACAAGATGGCCGTTTGCTTCGTATTAATTTCGTAGTCTGTCCGCCAATGATGCGTCGGTACGAGATCGTCATGGCCGTCGAAACTCACGTTCTCGCTTTCCGTGGTTTCACGATTCTCCCTTTCCCCGACTACGTCGTCACATTATCGTTTCCACGTGGACGACAGGAACGCAAATATAAATTGTCGTTTACGGATACTTTGATATCCCTTTGATCTATATCCATTACCTTGGTATATCTCTGATAGGGTTGAAAACGTCATAAAAATTAGACCTTAACGATTCATTTACTTATTTGATTTCTTCACGATTTGCGGTCGAATTTTGTTACTTAGGGAAAATTTATTAATAATTATTTCTAAGATTAGACATAAGAGATTATAATTTAATCTAAAAATACTTTAAAATAAACAAAATGAGACATGGCTACATCTATAATGATGACTAAATCTTGATTCTGAAACATGTGCTCTTTTATTCTTTTATTTCTTAAATACTCGCAAATTTCTTTTGTAATACAAAAAAAAAATATACTCAACATTTTACATTTTAGCAAGACAATAATAAAGTAGTTAAATTTATAAACATTTACAAAAGCTCTGGTGAACACATCTTACTAAGGAGCAACGATCCGTAAAATTCGATGAATCTTTCATGCGCGAACAAACTCTTTGTTATCGCTCGATCCATCGCGAGAATTTGAATCTCGGTAAATCATGTCGGACTTTTGTAGAATCTCATCCTGAGGACCGATATCAGCGCGTCACGATAGGAAG